TAGGAAAAGAGGTCAATCACAGTCAGTTCAAAGATGGGTCCCCTGTCCCAATGAACGGCAGCCTACCCTGCCCTGGGAATCACATCCTAGATCCTGGCAGTGGGCTGGGACTGAAGCACTGCTATAGGTTACGCTTTTTTTCTCATGGAAGGGGATTGGTCTTTGATTCCAGCATTAGGATATGCTCGCAGGAGCCCTGGGTATCATTTTCTATCCTATGGAGCTTCACAGAGAAAAGGTCCATTCATCAAAGACCAAGCTAGCTCTTTTGTTCAACTGTATTTTAACACTCTGCCACCTTCATGGCTGCAGTTAGTTAGCCACAAGAAGGTGGCCTCCCTTCTCGTGGCTTCCATATAAGCACGAAGCTTGGGAATTCGTATTTTGCCCTCCCTGCAGTTTCATTTCTCAGTTTAGAATCAGTGGTGGAGAATACGTGCTTTGTTCAGGATTACCGTTGCAGTCAATATGACCTTCAGCTTGCCACCAGTTCTGGTTTAAAAGGAGCTAGTGATAAGATTTTTGCTGTGCAATGCACGATCTAGCATCTACCTGGGCAGTTTGGCCATTGCTGTTTTAACTCTGTTTGGTGATGTGTATCCAGGGTGAGCAGGGAGGAGCAGGTGTTCCAGGAGATATCGGCTTCCAAGGAGACAAGGTAATTGTTTTTCTTTCCTCCATCATTTTTTCCCCTCGGTAGGTAGTATTGCTGCCAGCTTTCTCAGCTCATCTTTGAGCCGTTAGCCATAATGAACGGCTTTCCTCCTGCCCATAAAGAGCTGGAACTACCTGCATGCTGCAGCCAGGCTCCTTCTGTTCATGTAGTTCTCGTTTAGGGTATTCAGGGCCTTCCTAAAATTCACGTCAATATATTGATTTTGTTGTGATTCTTAATAAACACAGTTCTACCAGGGAAAATCTGGGGCTTTCCATAAGAAGGGCCATATCTTCGTGCAGAAGGGAAAGGGTTGGAATGGGACGGGGGTGGTAGGAACGTGTGTGGTCCAGCAGACTCAGTGAATTTGTCTGCTCAGGGCAGCAACTTAGATCCGTACCGAGTAAAGCACTTAACACGGGACATAACTTCTAAGCAGACTGGTCCCCTGTGACTACAATACGATACCGACTTCAGCTGACTAATGCTGTACTTAGCACTACGCCGGGGCCTGGATGGCCCCGAGCCACAGCTAACTGCAACAGTTCATGTGTTCCTTGGGGCTAAATGCAGCTCCGACTTTAGCACAAACAGCTCACCGGCACTAATGCAATTGTCCCGGCTCCTCACAGGGGCTGAGCTCAGTCCTCAGAAACTGCTCCTCTCTCCTGCAGAAACTGGGGCTGGAGCCTGGGGAATTGGTGTTTTTTGATGCTTCGTTGTGTTTTCTGAAAAATTGTCTCTCTCTTTCTCAGGGCAGCCAGGGTTTACCTGGGGTCCCTGGGGCACGAGGGAAACCAGGCCCCCTGGTAAGTAACCAAACATCCTTTGCTGCTTAATCTCCCTAAAGGTTCAGTGCCCAGCTGGAAAGACAGCTCAGCAGGGGTGTGCTATTCTAAACAGAAAAGCCGATAGCGAGAAGCCAGCTCACTTTTCTCCATGCTTTCTGATTTCTGCAGGGAAAAGTTGGTGACAAGGGTCCAGTCGGGTTTCCAGGACCACCAGGCCCTGAGGTATGTCCCACCACCTCCTTCTTAAATCTTACCTTTCTTTGGTAACTTCTGCAGCATCCTTTCTTTTGCAAACCCACATGATATATCCCCTCTCCCCTCCTGTTTTACCTCTGCAGCAGTTACTCAATGTCTGCAGTTTGCTGCCCTGCTGAGAATCAGCTTTTTGTTGAACACCCATGTGATGTTTTAGAGGCCCTTAGAGATGCCCATTTCCTTTCCCTGTTGTTTTTTAGTACTCAGACTGTATACTGAGGGCTTCAGTGAGAAGATGTATGCCTATAGCAAGCACTAATTCTTAGGGAACAGCAAGAGCCAAAGGCTGCCTCCTGCATGGGCACCCAGCCTGGCAGAGGGAGAGGGCAGCTGGCACCACTGCCACTGACCATGACACCTGAGCAAGCCATCTCTGAGCTCCCTGATATACTTACTGACCCAAAAGTGGTGTGCTCTGGGGTCA